CCGAATTTCAGAATTTCCGAATTTCTGAACTTCTGAATTTCTGAACTTCTGAATTTCTGAATTTCTGAAATTCTGAATTTTTAAATTTCTGAATTTCTGAATTTCTGAATTTCTGAATTTCTGAATTTCTGAATTTCTGAATTTTTGAATTTCTGAATTTCTGAATTTCTGAATTTCTGAAATTCTGAATTTCTGAATTTCTGAATTTCTGAAAAAATTTTATTTTCAAGCTTTTCGAAATTTGCGAACAGAATGACAGTAAGGCTTCCATTTCGGTCGGTCGAAAATCGCCGACCGCCGACCGACCACCGACCCAGCCGACCGGCAGTCGAGCGCGCCTTCGCGCATAAAAATACGAATTTTCGCGTACGAAGAACTTTATTTTACGACAAACGAAGATTTTAGTGAGTAGTTTGTCGTAAAATACAATGCAGCGTATGCAAACCGTTGACGCGCCGACCGATCGATCAGTTCGGTCGGCTGTCGGTCGGCGGGGTCAGTGGTCGGTCGGTCTGCTAAATTTCCCGACCGAATGGAAGCCTTAACTGACAGAGAAACAAAGAGACCCACTTCATTTATGTATTATAAGAATGACAAGAATGATGATTTCATAATTTTCTTTAAAGGAGGACAGACACCAAAAAAGAAGTTTTCCTGATATTTTGCATAGAGAACCCCCATGAGGTGTTGAACTCATGACAGGCAGCTCAGGGGTACAGTGCCGCTACCGGCTGAGCTACGGGGGCGCGAAGGCGCCTGACGACCGATTGTCTACATAAGAGCGGCGCGATTTCGTCCCCCGAAATTTTTGCTTCTCGCCTCCTTTAAACATCTTTAGAAATCACAGATTTTCTTGTTTTATATTTGTCTGGGTACTTCATGACCCAGAAAATGTTTCTAAGTTTGGCAAACAATTTTTGAAAGTCCCTGCCAAAAATAGGTACAAATTATTTTTTTTTTTGAAAATTCAAAAAAAATATATATCAATCAATTTTTTGGGTTCAAAATTATCCAATAATCTGTACCCACATGTTTTTTGTTGGAAAAATGCCAAAAGTTGAACATTTTTTATTGGGACAAAAATTTTTGACATTTGAGATGTCTCACTTTTCATCCAAAAAAAAATATTTTGATTGACAGCTCTTTATTTTTTATTCCTCGATATTTCTTGTTTTTCTGTTGTCTTCTGAAAAAAAAACGATATTAATTTCATTTTTTTTATTGAATTTTCTTGGAAATATAAAAAATTCTGAATATTCAAAAAATTTTTATATGCGATTCCTTTTAAATAATTCAAAAACGCAAAAATCGAAAATTCGAAATCCCAGAATCTCAGAATCTCAGAATCTCGGAATCTCAGAATCTCAGAATCTCAGAATCTCGGAATCTCAAAATCTCAGAGTCTCAGAATTCCAGAATCTCAGAATCTCAGGAACTCAGAATCTCGGAATCTCAGAGTCTCAGAATCTCAGAATCTCAGAATCTCGGAATCTCGGAATCTCAGGTTCTCAGAATCTCAGAATCTCAGATTCTCAGATTTTCAGAATCTCAGAATCTCAGACTCTGAATTTCGGAATCTCAGAATATCAGAATCTCAGAATCTCGGAATCTCAGAATTTCAGAATCTCAGAATCTCGGAATCTCAGAATCTCAGAATTATAGAGTTTCAGAATCTCAGAATCTCAGAATTTCAGAATCTCAGAATTCCAGAATCTCAGAATCTCAGAATCTCAGAATCTCAGAATCTCAGAATCTCAGAATTTCAGAATCTCAGAATTCCAGAATCTCAGAATCTCGGAATCTCAGACTCTCAGAGTCTCAGAATTTCAAAATCTCAGAATCTCAGAATCTCAGAATTTCAGAATCTCAGAATCTCAGAATTTCAGAATCTCAGAATCTCAGACTCTCAGAGTCTCAGAATTCCAGAATCTCAGAATCTCAGAATCTCAGAATCTCAGACTCTCAGAGTCTCAGAATCTCAGAATTTCAGAATCTCAGAATCTCAGAATCTCAGAATCTCAGAATCTCAGAATTTCAAAATCTCAGAATCTCAGAATCTCAGAATTTCAGAATCTCAGAATCTCAGAATCTCAGAATCTCGAAATCTCAGAATCTCAGAGTCGCAGAATTCCAGAATCTCAGAATCTAAGAATTTCAGAATCTCAG